GTGTGATATAACTAATTAAATCGTTTTTTTTTATCTTCTATTTGCCGCATATTTATAATTGATATTGTACCACTTGAAATACTATCCGCGCACTAGCCAATAACATTTACATTTCCTTGTTTCTTATATATTAGTATTTGATTGATAAATATGCACCAAATAATCTCCCATCTTCGAATTTTATTACATTTCCATCATCTATTAAATATACGGATTAGTATCATATATGAATGTATTAAATAAATTATATAGTATATAATTTTTTTTTTATTTTTTTTTTGTACAAAAGAGGGAGCCACCAGCTTAAGCTAGTACTCGACGGGGGTAAGACACCCCAATATTATCATGATCGACCCATGGTCCCATCCCCCCAGGGGGGAGGTGAAACGATGCAATCCAATCGGGTAGGATGCTGCTAGGTTTGCCATCTGATCAGCCGCAAAATTAGCTTCCATATGGACGTGTTGGACACGAACAGACCAGTCTCGTTGAATTATACTCCGAATAGCCTTCACCAACGCTGCATGGGGCCCGAGCTCATCCGCAGTTCCACAAACCATTTTTTTTTTCACGCAAAAGTTGTGCACCTCGGCGATACGTACGCTTATAATTAATACAGTGTCACTCACTCATCCGAATATCTGAAGTAGAATACTGAAAACAAATAAATAAATTTCATTAATAACATTTATTATTATATGGTCGGAAACGAGTCATTGGGGCCAGAGTAATGTACGTAATTATTTATTTATTTTTGGGGTGGAATTCCACTTCTAGTCACGTCGTGAAAGCTACTTGGAATTATAGTCGATAATTTATCGATCGAGTATATCATTGTTGTTTTTATTTTTATTTTTTACCCTATAAACGGAAATATCACTAGTAAGTATAATATTTATTTGATAAATATATAGAAGAGTTATGGATTTTACCAAATGAGTTGGCTAATCATTGGTGCTTTTGTTCAATATATTTCTGAAAAAAATAAATAAATAAATTATGATAATAAGGTGCCACCAACTGGGTACAGTGCATAAGTCACTTTTGATTTGATTTGACTCTGTGTTATTCGTGAGACACAATAGTATGCGAAAATCGTTTTATCCAAGAGCATTCGTCTTGAATAATTAAGAATCAAAACTGAATAAAAGTGGAAGCGTACCGGACTTCGTGAATTCATTTGCTTGAGAAACCGCGTGTTGTGTACATCCAAACGATGTTGTTGAATTGATATGATCTTCCAAACGATCGAAACCTTCTAACAGATTCTTATCCGTAGTGTTTGTATTGGTATATATCTTTATGTGTGTATTCCATATGTGTATCCTTGAAATGAAGAAGATGGTGCTTTTAGCGCCTCTTCGAAAATCTGCTCGTACATTTTCGTCGTTTGAGGTCATAACTAAATAAATAAGAATTATTGATTTTCAATTCGTTTCTTCAACAAACAGAAAATCTCATAATGATATCTACACTTATAAATCCATAAAATTTGATACTCTCTTTATTCAAAATTATAAATTAGTAGATCACTTTAATTTAATAATATTATGAGAACTATACACATTTAACTTACATATGTTGTCCAATAAAATATTTCTAACATCACCATAAATATATTACGAGTTTTATTAATAGTTTATGCTATTAATTTTTAGCCATAAATTATGTTTTAATAATATTGTTAATGTTCTTTAAGCTAAGTTTTTGGTTATTTTATTGCATAAGTGTCTTAATTAAATTTGTTAGATGTTTGTCCTATTTTTGTTGCGTTTTTCTTTGTCTCTTTGCTTTCTTTTTCCCCCATATTGAGTCTTTTTTGTTGGTATTATTCGTTTTTGTAGTTTATTGCGTGATTTGATCTATTTCAGTTTTTCTTGTGTTTTCCGTGTGTTTTTCCGGTTTTTCTTTGTTTTTGGTGTGTAGGTCACGAGCTTTGGGCAAAGTTTCTCTTCCTTAAAGATTGGTTTCAAGAGCATAATTGAATAGAGGAGCTCGTTAGCGACGCGTAGGAAAAAGCGGAATTGAATTCCGATACCAGACGGGCCCGAACGAGCCCAAACCGTGAAGTCATGCAAAGCTGTCGAGGGCCTTAGCGCCGCTAAGGCCTTAGCGCCGCTAAGGCCTGTGTGGTTAGCGAGATTTTGGAAGCTAAGCGGGACAGATGAAACCAGCTAAGAAGGCTTAGCGCCGCTAAGGGGTTAGCGGCGCTAAGGCCTGTTTTTCAACTGACGCGTTTTTCTCGCGATTTTGAATGGGGGACTTATTAGATCGAGCCTAGGGCATAATTTCTGAGGGGAGACCTGTTATTTTCGATTTTTCTCCCCTTAGAACACATCTTTCTCTTAATCTTTCATCTTAGATTGGATTTGGAGAATAAAAAAACTCATTTTTCTAGCTTTTGGATTCGGTTTGCTCGTTGTTCTTTCGACATT